ATTACCATTTTCTTGGATGGTTTCATTTAAACATTGACAAGACAAGACGTATGAAGAAGTGTTTGATTGGGAACTACAGTTTGTCACTCACTACATATATTTTTATTTCAAGGCGACACACCATATTATGACCGGACATTCCTGTTCACTTGATTAGCCACTGCAATCTGATTAAAATACAGATCTATATTTCGTTTCGTTTTTTTATAATTTCAATGGCCTACACTAAGTGTAGTAAAGACAAGTAAAACGAAATTTTGAACTATAAAAACGAAACGAAATAGGATCTGTGTTTTAACCAGATTGTTAGCCACTGTAAATCACTGAGTAAGGCGTTGATCCACTAGCTAGGAGATCCCAGGTTCTATCCCTTTGTTAGCCTGAACAATGTCTAGTCGTTCGGATAGGACAAAAATTCAAGAACCCGTGTACACGAAGAACCATTGACAGTTGGAATTTAAAATAAGAGGAGAATTTAGCTCCGCTATCCTGGCAAACTTTCCTCGTATCACAATGCATAGTGTACACCCGTCTTCATTATCCCGGTGGATGCAGAAAATAGAATGTTAAACCCCATCTATTTATGTGTACTTAGGCTGGCGTCATTTAAAAAGTGAACCTATCCAAACCTTGTACCTAGTCAATCTGTGACACAGAACCTGTGGTGTATGTTCAAGAAGATCGTCTTTCCCGTCGTTAAATGTCAATTTCTCATCAAATGCGGTATTTCTCATTTTTAGTAACTAAATACATTGTTTTTCTTCAAATTTTAAACATCAGCTAATTTTTTGTTAATCCGAGCAGTTAAAAATATAGTTTTATTTCAAACTGATAATGGTCGACCAAAACTTACTTTAAAGTGCGAATTTTGTGTCGCTGCCATTTAAAAGGTTTCTGGCACGATCGTCCACACTATAAATAATTATGAATGTAAACATCAATAAAAAAAAGAGACCAGAATCGTATAGAATATTCGTTAATCAACGACACGGTATTTTCATAAAGAATAATAATAATAAAAAACCAAAACAGACCCCTCAAAAAAAAAACATATACCGAAATAGACTCTCATTTTAATAATCGAATCGGATTTTTATTTCGATCTTTATGTACCCCTTCTTGATTTATTGAACGAAGAACAACGTTGAAACCTGCAAGTCATAAAATATGATATTTGTGTTCATAATATCAACAAAAATATAAAATATGGATTGTCGGAACAAAGGCGTTTTATCGCAGAAGTACCAGATCGAATCATGGAGTCATAAAATGCCAAAACTCGTAGTAATTATCACCTTTTGAATATAAAATATGTGGATTTTATACGGGTATTGGTTATTGAAAGATATCAAAATATCATTTTCATAAATGCGCAAAGCTCACCATAGAGTCTTAACATGTCAAATGACCATAATTGAGTATTAGACTATACAGTAAATAGTAATAAATTAGATCTAAAATTCAACACTGAAGTCTTAGAAAGGTTTGAGCCTGGCTTGGTGGTCCAGTATGAAAGATGAAAGCAATAAGTTTATAAAGATATTATCATTACCGTACGAATCCGACACCATATTATTAGCTAGCGATTTTTACACCTTTCGTTAGCTATAAAATAAAAATTTGCACCAATCGGTGTAAAATGATAGGGCTGATGAACTGAGGTAGTAATTACAACACTTTGTTCCACAACACTACTTCATACGGGAGGCTTGACGAGCGAATAGCCCCGAGTTAAATTTCACCTTAGACTGACTAAGAAAATCGGACGATCGTCACATTAGCTACGTGATGAAAATAACAAATATATCATAGAAAAGGGTAATACCCATACCATGTCTTAATTAGAGACTACCTTAATTTAACTCTTTGTTTGATAACACTTTATAGTTGATAGTCAATGTGGCTATACAATAATATCTGTTAAACGTATTGTATTATTGATTACCAATAACACTTGACTTGCTCATTTAATTTGTTTGATTCTAACCGTATTCTGTATTACGTATTCCTGATCTATTTTCTTTTCGTATAATTTGAGTGCATCTAGCTTGGATCTGTAATTCTGTGGGGCCGTACATAATCTTGATAATCCGCATCATAGTCAAAAATTATATGATTTTCGGGTAGTTTCATAATTATATTTACAATCTAAAAATTATCTGATAACATTAATTATCGATCTATTTGACGGTTATTTATCACTTATTGCGCGTTTTCAGGTTTATATCGACTAACATAATGGTGCCATGGCCAAGATATACCTCTAATTTTGTATTAAATATTCTCCAAAAATCCCCTGTCCTTTTATATACGGTATACAAAATCTGCATTATAAGAACAGATATTTTAATATTTGGAATTCGCTGAATTACATACAAAAAAAGAAGTTGATTAAAAATTTCATATAGATAAAATAAATAATAAATTCAGATTTATTAAGAAGTCACAGCCTTTCATATTCATAAAAAGTCAGTTCTCTAGTGATTTTCGTCCTCACCATACAACTTATAATCCAGCATTCAGAAAGAAAGTACTAAATATAATATAATGGTTAGTGGCTGGATTTCGTGGGGGTTTTTTTTAAAAAAAAAGAAAAAAAAGAGGAAAATATACCTCCTCCAGGCCTCACGTTTCTCTACTCATAGACAATTTCGATTAGCTGTTTGACAACATCCTCGATGGAATAAGTAGAAGCATGATGTCTGTTGCTAATAAAACCGATAATATATATATATTCGGCATGCATATTGGCCACAATCCAATATCTGATTGACAGCGTCATTTAAATTTGAGGTCTCGTGGGATCTTATACTTAAACAAGCTATTTAACTGTGTTAAAGATCACAAGTCCTATTACAAGCGCCAGGTAATGTTAATTTTCTTCAGATATGGAAACAAATTAAATAATCGACGTTGTTCAACTAAAATAGAACAATCCTCCAAGGTCAATCAGAGAAGTCTTGTGTTTGTACTGGTTTGATTTTAAATATTATATTTACAGCAATTCAGAGCAATAACAACGAAATAATTTAAACATTTGCAGGAAATTATTCACGATTACCATTAAGTTCAATCTATAAATGGAATGGGTATTGTAAATTAACGAGTTAACGTTTCGGTTGAATCATTACATCATTGAAATTATTATTCATGAATACAATTAAATTCAATGTCTAAATGGAATGGGTATGGTAAATTAACGAGTTAACGTTTCGGTTAAATCATTAGATCACTGATAACTACAGTATCTAAAAAATATGAGCGAGAAAATAGAAGATATGAAAAATATACTTCACGAGAATATTGTCATGTCTGTCAATAATGAACTTTTCTAAACTTTGATGTTTTAGATGCACGTGGAGACTTAAAGAGTTTAACCCATCTTCGGTGATATGATAAAATACGATGAAACCAAGTCCACAGTTGAAACAAATTAGATACTGTACTTCTTCCGCCGTTAAAGGTACATGGAAACTGAAATTTCATCTTGATTTATTATTGGCCTTCACAGGGTGTTTTCTTCCTCCAAAATTACACACACATACTGAAAATTATCGAAGCTAAATCATGATATGATTCACAGATTAGTTGACGAGATGTTAAGTTTCACCCGCTTCATTTTATTTTTTAAAGCCATATGTAGAACTTTCAACGCGTGTAATCGAATATTAATTAGTCTGGTAAAAAATACGCCTTTATCAAGACGGTCACGTGGCGACCAGAATGAGGGAAAAAATCTGATATCAAAATAGTCAGATTAATTTCAATTAATTGAAAATCAAAATATTTAGTTTCTAGTGATAATTAAATTACCGTAAAATTAAAAAAAAATATGTTCAGTTTAAACTTTTACTATTTTAATTTTAAAATATTTTTGATAGACTTGGTTTTATTTTTTTATTGATCATAAATATTTTTAATAATTGGTCTTTTCTACTTCAGGCTATCTGGCTTTCACGTCTTCATAGGTATAATCAAAACGTTTATTTTTATTTGGGTACTGAATTAACACTGGTTCACGCTGTTTCTTAAAATATAAAATATTCTTAAAAAATAAATACGTCGATTAACCTTGTTTAGCGCAAGTACTACCATATAATGGGAAGTTGCAAACAAATGTACAATCTTTCCAGTAATTCATACAGAAAAGAATACAGTATCTAAAGTTTTAGCAACTGCATACATTTAATTAGTTTCTTTATTTTGTCAAAATGTTTCGCCAATTGGTAAAATATTAATACTGAAACAATACAAAAACCAGTACGAGTTACATTTGATAAAATTTACCAGTTAGTATCCACTGAAAAATATTTGCATTCACCAGGGTTTCTATTTTATTTTTCTTCTGCATATGTCATTTACATGTAATTTCAATAAAGTAAATTTGATAAAATTCCACTTTAAAATATACTAATCGTTCCTATGTGAGATGGCAATGAATTAGTCTGGGGTCATGTATGTTGTGCATTAGAAATGATATAAAATAATAAACAGATCAGATAATGAACGGTAATCTTTTATTTCACATCATGCAAAAACAAGCCGAATGTTTCAAACAAACTTTCTTGGATATTGAGTTCCTAACAGTAACAAACTACGAAACTATTTTAACATAATTATTATTGATAAAAGGGAAGGATTAGATCGCTCATGTGAAGTGATGCTCAAAGTTTCCAATTCACGGTTTAGTTTGATAAAGAGAAGATCAAGTTTTAAACACTTGAGTGGTTCCTGGGTGTCATATCATACAATTTATATCACTAACAGCGAGGTGAAAATCTCTTATTTAATATGCAAATTACCACCACCATCGCCTGTCAATATACTACCATCGCTGTGACAAACTGACTGTTCAGTCCCGCCCATTTTCGCCTCGGTGACAATGGAAATGTCACGTGATTTAATGCTTAGTCACTATTCGTCACGGGTGTTAGAATAGTCTGTAAGTTAAGGGAAAAGAGATGATTTTTAGTTAGGATTGTAGATTATTGTATATCAGTTTGTTTGATTTTTTCTTGTGAGAAACTCGTGTTCTTATCTGATGTTATGTATTGGCTTTAATAACTTGACTTCATAACGTCTTACTTATATCACAGTGACAATGGATGGTCCCCTATATCTTCATGGGCCATTTAGGTAGGTACTCCTTATTTTTTTTTAAAAATGTATATGTATGTGAGAATGTATTAAACTTAGCATGTAATTATGTGACGCATTTATTAAAATCATTATTTCTTAGTATGCAATTATCTTCGCACTTCTAAACAGTAATGTTTGTTTTTTTTGTACCACAAATGCATCTTATGCACGATTATGACAATGTTATAAATGTAGTGTTAGAGTTATGGCATCTCTAACGTGCAGCATGTCATCTCCCAAAGTATGCATATCATAACTTCATTTATTATCTTTTTAGCTAACGGCAATTATAGATATTACATTTTTGGTGTAGGCATTACTCTATACTTCACCAATTTCATTTAAACAAAAATACTAATATCGGTATCAGTTTGAATATTTTATATTAAATTTGAGCCTTGAAGTATATCATGTAGGCCTCGCATTTGACGGATATTTAAAACTTAATTTATTAATTAAACAAATGAAGATCATCCTAAGTTCAGGAGTATTGTTTGTATTTAAATATCTCGCATGTATTTTCGAATACATACAGTAAGTAATAACTGTAGTGATAATTGATGTCTTAGTTTTATATTTTAAACGCAATCAAAATAATTAGCTAGCATGATACTGTTGGCAGCATGTATATTTTAGCTTTATGTACAATAACAGTTTAATACATTGCCTGATTAGACCAATATGCATAACATACTCTGTTTCTAATATAAATTTTCAGTTTAAAATTAGTACAACTGAAAACCTTTTTGCATTTAACTGTTTTTAAGATGAGTTACTGTGTCAACCAATAAAAGGGAATAGCTGCCAACATTTTATAAATTAGTGAATGGGCTATAAACGAGGAAGTATTGAAACATTTTGTAACAAAAAAAAACAAAAAAAACCCCGAAAATGAGGTGTTCACACTACGCGCCAATGAATAACAACAGAAAACAAGATATTATATCTAAAATTATTCTAATAAACCTTATCGTTCCTTATTTCTTAATAATATATGTTTATTGACTATCTGAACACGGTCAATCAAAATAATAATCGCAGCTTTAATTACTTACTAATTCAACTGTAGCGAATCAAATAACTGTAAAGTCTAAACGTTGGTTGGGTTAAAATATGTATATATAACAATATTGAAATAATTTTAATATCTTTAATAGAATAATATTGGAATTTAACAAACATATCACACAGATGGTACTAAACGAACAATTCCTTCGTTTTCTATTATCTTGCAAACCATTTTAATAATATAATCGTAATTCGGTGAATACAAGTTTGTTTTAATGGATAATTTACCTTGAAGGAATAGTAGCATGGTCTGCATATAAAACTGAGTGAGCTAAACAAAAAATCAGCCAGATTTCTATAATGACATTAATTTGTCGACACTATGCATTGATGGCGGTGTGCTTATAACATAAACTGAAATTTGGAATAGTTTACTAAGACATGAACCCGTTTAATTAATATATGGAGCCAATTTAGACGTTAAAAAAGAAGATGAACCCATTAAAAGTCACTGAATTACTTACTTACCTTTATGTGAATAGTCGATGCATTTAAATCTATTGGGTTGCTGTAAAATTTCTAAAGGATTTCAGAACAGGGACAATGTGTAGCAATTTCTTTATAGAGTGTTTAACAACAAGATGTTTAGATCTTTGTTTTACGATCACAATATTCAATTTACTAAACAGTGGTTTAAGGTTTCGTTTCGTTTAAAAACGCCTTGTACATGTATTTAAACAATTTAACCCTATTATCTCGTACGACAGCACCTTAAGGCATACGATGAACAACGAGGGTTCTTCACTGTTAGGTTAATTGTTTACAAGTATCGTCAATTGTACTGGGTCTGATTTTGTGATTTGTCCAACGTTTTCTTTAACACTACATCAATTTGTGCCACTTGAAGAGGTCAAGCACTTTCCGCCCCTTAATTCTTAATATTGTTTGGTGTTTCTTTTATTTGGAGGGGTCGAGGTTGTTCAATTTGGCACTTGACAGAAACAATTATTTTAGAAAAAATGCCAGTGGAACCAAATATTGACATTTTAATAAGCCGATATATTGTTAATTCAATTACATTTTATAAATTAATATGTTGATCTGAAACTGTGCATACCTTATGCAGAATTTTGACAGAAGTTTGAAAGAAAACTCTAAAATCACCAAATTAAAGAACTAACCTTGATATCGATCAAAAATTTAAAAGTAGAATTTCATAAATATCAGATCTCTAGCGGATTTTAAATATCTTAAAGTAGCGCTATCATCCCTACAAATATAACGAATAATATTATATTCAAAATATTAGATCCACCTAATTATCAAATACCCAAGCACACACATATTTAGACGAATGTTTTGTCACGAGCATTCGGAAAAAAAAAACACTAAAAAAGAAAAAGAAATGTTTATATCTCAGCGATGACTTGATACATATATTTCAAATTTTACATACAAAACTAATTTGTACAGACCTGACGTAACTACCCAAGCTTATACCACCACGTGTTCAAAAATGACATAAAAATGAATTTTGATCTGATTTTGGAGTCTTTTTCAACAAAAACCATAAAAAAACACAAACTCTTATTCATTTAAACACTGATTTAATGAAATATGTAATCCGATATTTTAGACAAAAGGATTTTAAAAAAGCCCGAGTAAAATTAGATATCATGATGTCCCGTGATGTGCGTTTACTGCCCTTTGTAATGAATTTATTGAAATCCATTTTCATTGAAAATTGGCAAATCAGATCATGTGACTACACGTGACTTACAACGCCCAGATGAAACTAATCTCGTTTCTAAACAAAACGTAAAATTTGGCTCCTAATAAATATTCGATAATCAAATTTTGTAATAAGTTAATTACATTTAACAGCCACATGAAAATATTCCAGATCATTAAATTTACTTTGACTATAAAATACGGTACATGTATTATGAACTGTAGTGAGGAAAATTACCGATTTATACAAATTGAAGCATCTGAGTAACAACAACACTAAAACAAAACGAATTAGTGTTTATTAATTTATTTCTTATTCACAACATCTCAACAACAAAGAAATTTAATAAAATTGTATAATAATAATAGGAATCGTTGGACAAAACTTCAGAAATAGGCATCTCTACGAATTTTTAAAAATTACTAGACATAAAAGATATTAACGATTGGAAAACATGCCCAAACTAATCCGGAAAATATACATATTTTAACCTAGTCTCTAATATGTATTACCCTTGCAAGACAGTTAATAAGATAAGCGCTGGCATTACTTTTTAGTAATGGATAATGTAACGCAAGGCTTAATGTTTAACTTGTTTAGTTTTTTGTGTGTTCATTAGACAATCTGAATCTAATTTGACGTCTACAAATAATGGTACGTTTAGAAGGCCCGAAGAGCTGACCAAATTATGTTTGAGGGAACATATACCTTTAATTACTGAATTTAATATCAATATTTGGTTCATTGCGACATTATCTAGATATACGTTTCACATTTCAAACTACGTTTAAAAAATATGTATATATAAAGAAAGACATCAAATAAAAAATCCTATTTACAATCACATCTGGAATTTCCAAAGTTTTTGTTCGATATTTTCTTCTGTTGAATGTCTCTTCAATAAATGCATGAAAATGGCCGACTACCACTGACACTTACCTTTTATAGTAATATTATGATGAATATAAATGGGTGTCAATGAGAGAAGACATGCGGTGTAACTGATTAAAATCCTACCGTTAAAATAATTGATTTGCTGGTTAATGTGCGATAACTCTGTTGGGTTCGGAAATTTAGTACCGCGCGACACTCAATAAGTACATAGATTTAAATAATGGCTAACATGTTATGGTTTAATATTCGGTATACACGTAGTGTCGTTTAAATTAAGCATCAAAGCGTAGTTATCGAACATGCACTAAGACATAATAAAGTGTTTTTAAATAACATATCTAACAAAATATTATCTTCTTAGTAAATATTATAAGTACCAATGTTTGTTTATGGCTTGAGAACAAAAGAAAATAAACATTTCATTATTTAGGTAATAGGTCTAACAGTTATTCAGTTAATAAGACAAAAATGCGAGTTCGATAATCCGTCAGTGGATACTTAAAACTATTACCGACCCATATTCAATAGAAACAAATGTAAACTTCTAACTGTTTATCCTGTTAATAATCGCACGCTGAACGTACATTAAATATCTTATTTACAATCAAGCCTCCTATTATATTTAAATTGAATCTATACAAACAATAGCACGTATTAATTATATCAACCACTTTATCTGTTTACTTATTTTTATATTATAGACCAATACCAATGTACCAACGACCAACGCTACTGGATACATTATCATGTCGAGTTCCGGCAGCTATGTTAAGAGATCCTGCATCAACATGGAAACCCACCGAGCACGATTCAGCCCTAGCTAAACCTGTACCCACCCTGGCACTGCCATACAGCTTGAGTCTACTGGACCACGTTCGACGTCAACAAGCTAACTTGAATCCATTTATCAACAATTTACCCAAAACACCCCTTACCACGGTGTCTCTGACGCAATTGCCCAGCCAGGAACGACCCTTAGTGCTAACTTCAAATCCAGAAATCCTGAACTCTCGTCCTGCACCCCGGGCACAGGAAAAGTCCCCTCGGGTGGACCCAATAGGTAATCTAGTGCGACCTCTAAGTGATCCGTACTCGTCACAATATGGCTACGGTAGGAAAGTGTTTCCATGTTCACAATGCCGCTATACTACGGACAGACGAAATAATCTCAAAAGACACATGCTTACAATGCACCAAGCGAGTTCAAAACTTTTAGAATGCTGTGGAATATTATTTACTACAAAAGCTTCGTTACGAGAACACGCCATGATATTTCATTACCATGGTTACACATGTTTTTACTGCGGGCGACGTTTCTGTCGAAAAGCGCTTCTGAAGCGACACCTTTCCGTTCACAATGGACAAAAAGACTTCGTGTGTTCTGTCTGTGATTATGCTACCAGCCACAAAAGTAATTTAGAAAGACACAGAAAAGTTCATTTACGACAAGATGACGGAGAAGACCAATCATCCTCACCTTTATACGAAGAAAATAAAAGTAGTGACGCCAATATGGCGGACAGTAGTGATGAATTATCAATATGTTCGGAAGATGAAGAAATTAACGTCCACATTGATTAAGTGGGCGATTTAATAATAAACTGTTCAGTGTAAATGTATTTATTTATGACAGAACCCAATGACTTTTAATATATTAAACTGTTAAAGTATTATTGTAAGTAAAGATATATTACATGTATAACAAACAGACCCCCTTTACCCTTTTGTGTATCTGTAAATATACAAAGTTCAAAATTAGACAAGTTAGCTTCTTGCTTTATAAAACTGTAAAAGATATCATTCTGTTTCTATCACTTTTATTAAAAACCCGCTTATCGTTATATTTTAAATAATGTGGTATATTGTTTTATGAAGATATCACAAACAAATACAGATAAATATCTATCACTATTTCCAAATTTTAATCTTTAATAACATTTTAAATGGTTCAAGTTTAATCAGAATGTGATGGATATACAGTACAACCAGATAGTAGGGTTTTTTTTATTGTCAACGTCATTCCCTACTTACAATATAATTATTTAAAATTAGAGGGACAGACCCGGATTTCACAATTTTAAAAGCGAGTCTATGTGTGTAACGATAATATGGACTATTTATCAAAATTTCAAAACAAAAAAGTTAGCCGTTTGTAAATGGCTGATAGATTTCCGTAACGAGATTAAGTAACACATGTAGAGATGGTTGTCCAGGCATTGATACAGAGGGGAGTTTGGTTTGGAGGCATATAGCCAACCTCACTTGAAAACTGAGCGTTTTTGTTTTTTCGAAAAAGTAGCACAGGGCATCAGATAGATGCACAGGACTAGGATATGGGTTTAACCAGTTTTATTAACGAAAATATTTCTGATTCGGCTTCTTTAAAATAAACATTACATCTTAAAAATATTGATAAGAATATATTTATTTTCTTTTTAAGACTTCTTCATTAATGACATTACCACATAATGTAATACTTTCTTCTAGATAGTAAGTTTGTTTAATTGTCTATTCTCTTTTGTCTTAATTTTTTAAATTGAACTCAGAACAGTTATTAAAATATTTTACAGAATATATGGTGATCCAATTTTAATCCTATACTTTCATATTGTACTCTGATGCAAGACCCGTCCCCATAATCTCAGCTATATGTAAACCCTATCCAAAAAAATGTAAGTCCCATAATATCATAACAATTTATAGCTTTAATATTGCATTATGTAAGAGGTAAATATGCCTATTGCAGGTCCTTCTTTTTGTTTTAAATGTTATAGAAATGATTAATTAGACATTTATTCATATGGTAAGCCCATTGTCAAATCTCTAGATCATCGGATGGTTGTGATATTGAACGGATTGAAATGCGATCGCCATTTTATTTTAAAAATTGATACTCTAGACTAGATTTATTAAATTATCGTAACAACGGTAGCAATGAAAATCCAGACTACGCCATTCTTCAAACGGCCATAACTCCACTCAGAATGAAGTAAATTGACTGAAATTTTCAACATATTCCATTTTCATTATCTGTTTTTAAACTTTTATAGCAAGAACTGACAACTCTTTATTTAAATCTTACATAATGCATCTTTAAGATAAAAATAACTGTGAAGTGTATTGAACAACTGTATTTCTGGGATTCTGAATGCGACAATGGTTAAAGTAATATGGTATAGATATGTTTCATCTGTTCTTAATTCATTATTCATATTCATATATATCATATTTCTGCTATCTTTTATAATATGCCGACATGTTTGAAACTTTGTGTTTTCTTTTTGAGAATTTATAATGTTAAATACTATCTTAAAACATTATTCATAACCAAATATTATGCCATAAAGTAAACATTTTGGAATTGTAAAGTGCGCACATATTTTGCTTTCATATTAAGTCTGAAATCAACGTTTCAAATTTATTCTCTCATTCCAAACCCAATTATATTTTTATTAGCACCAGTGACATTGTTTTATTGTAACTTTCATATCAAGTCCATGTGTTTATTATACTTTAGTGTTACATAAAAGTATTATTATAAATATATCAGAAAATATGTCTCATTTATTTTTTTTTTTTAAAAACTTTTTGGGGCATTTCGTTTGGAATGTATCGAGCTTGAATTAAACTACCAAGGAAATATCTTCTTGGTTATAGATACTCACCAAGTCGCAAAGGGTCTACAGAACCAAGAATAATAAACCGCCTTTAACCACACTAATTGTTAAAGAGACATTTAATTTAGAAATTTAAACCTCTTTAACATGCAATCTTTTCGAATACATCCTCATATTCATCACTTGATGACGACGCTTACTGTCAAATAAACTACACAAAGTATCTAAATTTTGCGCTTCAAGCAAAGGGCTTGACTGATCAACGAAAAGAGCATTTGAACAATTTTTGTCAATAGCGCTGAAAGTATTGCAAATGGTGACCGACAAGGAAATATGTTATAGACATTCATATTCTACACATCATAATTATCCAAAATGTATGTTTTTTTCTCATAAAACAATTGACAAAATTATTGACAATTGAAATTTTTACAAACGCGATTTACCCGTGTCATTTGCTCAGCTCATAATAATACATTCTTGTCACTATTCATCAGTATCACGTCCCTGACGATTCTCAATGTTTAAAGGAGCTAAATCGCTAATACTTCGAACCTAGAAATTGACACAAATAGGGCACAACGCATGTAATAATATAATATGAATATATTAATTGATTTACATTCAGTCGTTACCGTTTTTACTTTAATTTCAAAACATTTATGTTCGGCGAATCGAATGGAAATCTCTAGCGTCTGGTTATTCGAGTCTACACTGATAGAATTCATTGCGCATGCTCTACATATAAGAATATGAAGTCACCGTTTGACTTGACATGTGGAATATGTCTAGCCTCATTCTTCAAGTCCCTTGTTACAAATGACGCTGAAACGCATTATGGTACACGATTCGTGTACCAATGGTAAAATGTTTATTTTGTCTTGAATATTGGATATCGGAAGCCCATCTTTTCCCGGTAAAATCATAACATCAATGTTGATTTAAATTAACAAAAAAATCGTGTTTTCTATGTGGAAGATTTTGGATGATTTTGTTTTAGAGACTTAGCTACTTCAAGATCAGATATTCATAAATTGATTTAGCGGCGTTTAGTAACTAAATGAGAGTAACACACGTCACAATTATATGACTACAAGTTACTTAGCAGTTTATTTCTCTGGCGACAATCCTCGAGGGTTCTCTCATATTTATCAAGCAGGGGAATTGCATACGTAAAGGGGATCGAAAGGAGTAAGCAACCATAGTTAGATCGTTTTCTTATCCCTGTTGGTATAGAAAAATAGAACGTCAAAACCTATTTTATTTATAACTTATTACTATAAGTATCTACACCATAATACCCCTTCTAACCTCGTGGGTTTTCTCCGGGTTCCCCGGTTTCCTCCCACTGCTAAAGACCCCTACGCGCAAGCGAATTATTGAAATAAAATTAAACTATATGTTAGTCCGAAATGACCTAGTTTGTGTCTAGTGGACGTTAAACACCATTTCTCTCTCTCTCTCTCCCTCTCTCTCTCTCTCCCTAATACCCCATCTGAAAACAAACAAAAGCGCATGTTTACAGGCTCACCAATATATCCATCCCAATAGGAATCGTAACACGATACGTCAACAGTTCCGAGCAAAACGGGGTTTACGTTATCGATATTTAGGCTGGATCGGGTGGAGGTCGGAGACAAATTAAATGTTGGCTTTGTGGAGAACCTGATATCATTTTTTAAGTAACATCCCAGCTGCAATTATTACATTCATTGATGCTTTGCGCAAGTAAAAATAGCATCAAACGAATAATTTTCAACACATATCTATGTAATTTGTACTGAAAAAAATATGCTTTTATCACAACCAATGACGTATGAACCATTAAAATGATCATCGAACAGTTTCTATTTGTGGTAATGAGTTTCACATTTTCGCGGCGACATGTTTTATGTACACTATAAGTGACAATGCCAATGGCGGTAACCACGTAAAATCTCGACCAGTCGATGGATTTTTCAAAATCAAAAAATTATGCGGCGAGGTTTCACCTTTATTTCAAGTGTAATTCCTTTTGGGTTACAACCTTTTTTTGTAACCAAATGATTACTAAACCTATTTAATGGAAGGCCTTAGAACCATCCACTACTGCAGCTGGAATCAAAGATATTCTAGTTAAGAGAAGTAACTTGGACTATTTGTTATATATTTATTACAGAAGAAACGATTTACACATGCTTAAAGGAGCGGTCCCAGGTTTGATCAGATATCCATCGATACATATGGGTTTAAGTATGCAAATTACACGCCTATAGAAATAATCCCTTTATCTCGCTTGAAAATATTGTGATTTGTTTAGTTGGAAACCTGTAGTGGTCATAGCTATTTTCTACTGACTACCCCAACGCTGCATACTTTTGGCATCGTCTAGACATTATGTAGACATTATTGAAGGTGTCAGCTTGAAAGCTAGTCAATCTATAAAATAAACTTGACCATGTGGGTTTTCATTTTTCCAAAAAAAAAAAAAAAAAAAAAAAAAAAAATACCGGGCTCCATACAGTTGCGCACGACTGATAGAAATGATTCTAACACTTCTTCACGCAAAATTAACTAAATAAGTATTATGGACCGATCCTTTAAATAAAATCTCCATTGCAGTTTAACTATCTTACACATAATAATAAAATTGTCCATTCGATTATAATTACCATGAACACAAGTCGAGGAATTTTTAACTTAAGGTTTTAGCGATTAAAAATTATTATGCGAGTTTACCATACCACAGGCATATATAAAATCTTCAGTAAATTACAGGAAAGCTAATCTCCGCTCCATTTCACGAAAATAAACGACACTAATGTCTTTGAAGTCTCGGGAAGATTAAGCGGTATTAAACCGCCATAAATATTTACTTTGCTCAAGAATTTTTCCTATTGCCGTTAATTTTCAGACGAAAACAGCGGGTCTCTTTACTGTTTCACCCTTAACAATAACGTGTCCCTTAGGCGAGAACACGAGATTTCACGTGATTTAACTTTAGTTTCGTATTAAATATCAGTACGCCTTTGATAGTTGAAATGGACACTGTTTTGCAAATTTGAAGTATTAATACAGCTATTAATGTTTGTTTTCTTTTAATTATCTTAAAGATTTTGAAAATTACTGTGGTTTTAAACATGTCTCAACGATATACGTGAATGATGGATTGATTGGCTTGTCTTTAATAGCTTTGTAAATCATACTTGTACATGGCATCCTCTTTAAAAGTTGAATATGGTGGATACGCATCTCAATTATTGTTGTAAATATGCAGTAATAAAACGGAGCACCCCCCTCCCCAAATCCCCCCCCCCAAAAAAACCCAAAAAACAAAAAAAAAAAAACAAAAAAAACCCCCAACAAACAAACAAATGAATTCACCCATAACCCCGCATAACTATAAATAAAAAACATAAACCCAAATTTACATCTCGGTGCATATATACACTAACTAACACAGTTTCAATGTGATTTCATTCCATGAATTCATCAAGCGACTCTCTCAGTGAGTTAAGACGTTGGCTTGCTAAGCTGGAGGTCCCCTGTTTGATCTCTGTGTTGACCGCGAAAGTTCGTCGTCGGATTTCCAGGCGTGGTTCCCTCTTGTCAGTGGTGCAGGACAGAGGCCTCGGCAAGGAACAACGTATAGTCTTTCGGATGAGACCCAAAATCTAGGTCCCGTGTACACATTTGGTGGATGTAAAAAAACTCTTGGCTGTTGGAATTTGATTAAGAGTAGGCCGTAGAGCCGGGCAAAATTTCCCTCATAGCACACTGTATATATGGCGTATGTCCGTCTTCATTATCCCAGTCGGAGCAGAACAGTAGGACGTTAAACCCCATTTCATTTCATAGCACACTGTATGGTGTATGTCCGTCTTCATTAGCCCAATCGGTGCAGATCAGTAAAAGTTAAAACAATGAAAATAAGTTTAAACCTTGCACTGCGCGCACTTTCAACTCTCCACTGACTATCTTTCCGTGCAAAAACAATCACGTGGCATTGGTATGAAATTTGTAACAATGAACCAGTCTACCAGCCGTTTGCCGGCTGATTAACGGAAATGGATTAAGGAGAATATTTTATATGAAACATTATAGACATTTAGGGAAAACAGAACTGAAAACGGTTATGCTCTAGTCTTGTTGGTGATCTGTGACCAACGGTTATTAAAGGGAGACAACTATTCATAACGTGTCGCACTTTCACGTTGTGGGGAGTGAATATTTTATTAGTGTAGTATCTGGTGAATGAAATAATGAAATACCGCTTTTAAAAGAATAAATATTTACTATGGAGAATCTTGCGCGGGATTTGAACCAGCGAGTTAATCAACACCAGCCCGATAATACCAATTCAGTAGTAGTCTAAGCTTTTAAAAAATCTCTCTATAATGACTTGGATAGAAAAATATTTATTAAAGCGTGTCCATATAACATAATTGCAAGAATGCATGTATTGACAGTACATCTTAACAATCCATAAAAGCTAAAAAAAAAAACTAACCAAAAACAAAAACAAAAACCTAAAGACATTTATACAGCTGAAATAGTAAAACCCATTGACAATTTGGATGGAACTTAAAGAATCAGGTATGTGAGAGGAAAATTAACATAGAAGTCAAAGGAGAAATTAATCATCGAGGTGCTGAAAATGATTGTTTACGGATGCTGGATTTGAAGAATCTAATAAACCTAATAAAGCTTAAGCTCCAGGAACTCTCATTCCTTATGGGCATCTGTCCACATGGCTTACATGTTTTAGGTGTACGGTAGTGGTGGGAAGTTTAGGAGTGAATATGCATAGTTACTGTACCAGCTCTGTCTCTGTTATGGGGGGTGGGGGCGGTAGGTGGTCGAATGGTTAACGCGTGCTCGTTGGATCAGAAGGTC